TTGGTTCAAACCCACCAGCCACTCTGTGGGAGAAAGATGAGGCAGGCTGCTTCCATAAAGATAAAGATTTATAGCCTTGGAAACCCTACCCTGTCCCATAGGGTCACCAGGAGTCTGAATCTACTCTACAGAAGTGGTTTTGGGGTTTGGAGACTAGAGTAGATCAGGAGGGATTAGCTTTGGATAGGAGAAGCAACACTTGCAGATAAGCTTTGGTATGAGCAGTAGAAGTGAGTTCTTAACTGATGATCTGCATTTTCTTAGTGAAGTAGAAGTACCTGCCTCATCTAGGAGGATGGAAGAAGGTTACAAGGAAAAGTGTCTGCCAACATCCTTGGTCAATTTGATAAAATACCTAGGACAATGTTTTTCATGTAATGTGTTTAGGTAGCCAGTGACCAAATGAAAAAATAGACATGTATCTTAAAATGATAACATGTGTCCAAAGAAATGGAGGTATGGATAAAAATAGCAGTGTAGTCTTTAAAAATTAAAATTAAAAAGAAGAAAGTAAGTACTGAAACACAAAAGGTCATATTGAGAAACACTGAATATAGTCTTGATGCATTTTGCATCAGAAAGATTAATTGTTAGTTCATGGAAAGTAATTGGGGGTACACCAGGAGAAGTTGCTTTTCAGCATTTATTTGAAAAGGCACAAGATAGGGCCTTGGGCCAATGACGAAGGTAACTAAATTGGTCTATAGTGTTTCCCCATCTCCAGTTTCTCCCAGGGCCATTCATCTTTTAGGCACCATTAACATACTGCCAAGGGCCTTTACAAACATTTCCAAACTCAAAAAAAAAGCACTGGCTCCAAAACATGAAAATAAAACTGAAAGACTAACAATATTTTGTCGATTTCATTAACAATCAAATTTAGTATTCATAAAATTGTCAGTGACACTTGAAAATAATCTGTGGGTTAGTTTGTCTTATTTCAAACATATTCAAGAGTTACTTGCCAGAAATCACAGCCAAATAAATTGCTCATAGGAAAATAATTATAAAGCAAAAACATAAAAATTCTTTCAAATAATAGCCATATATATTTGTGTACAGATACCTAGATATACACATAAATATACATTCTTTCTTTATAATGGGATGTAGGTGCATTTTAACACGTTTGATGTGATGCTGAAGGAGGGAGAGGGGCTTTAGGAAGGAAAAGGTATAGGAGATCTTATTCTTACAAAACCAAAAAACAAACAAACTCCCTGCCATTGAGTCAATTCTGACTCATAGTTTCCAAGGCTATAAATCTATACAGAAGCAGACTACCTCATCTCTTTCTTCCACAGAGCAGCTGGTGGGTTTGAACCACCAATCTTTTGGTTAGCAGCCAAATACCTTAACCAGTATATTACCAGTACACCACCAGAGCGCCTTTAAACTTATAAAATGCAATGCAACCACTGCCTTGGAGTTGGATCCAACTCATAGCAACCCCTCCTTGGGTTTCCGAGGCGGTATCTATGGAAGTAGATTGCCCAATCTTCCCTCCAGGGAGTGGATGGGGGGTTTGAACTCCCAGCCTTCTGGTTAGCATCAAATGCCTTAGGCACTATACCACCAGAGCTCCCTTAAACTTAAAAAGGATGTGCTTTTTGTTCTGTCTGGCGAGTAAGCAGCATCTCTCAGTTGTCCTTCATGTAATTTATACCTTCCCCTCAAACTAGGGAACCCATTTATTGCAATATGCTGTTTCCTCCAGTTACTTATCTTTCTATCTTTTGTTGTTGTTGTTGTTGTTGTTGTTATGTGCCATGAAGTTGGACCTGACTCATAGTGACCCCTCCATGGGTTTCCGAGGCAGTATCACTATGGAAGTACATTGCCCAACCTTCCTTCCGAGGAGCGGCTGATGGGTTTGAACCACCAGCCTTCTGGTTACCAGTCAAGTGTCTTAGGCAGTATGCTACCAGAGCTCTTTGTCCTTAATAAAAGAAATTCTGATAAGGAATATGGGTGCCTTCTCCATCCCTTGAAACTCATATTTAAGGACAACACAGAAACTAAAATTTCTTTAGTTGTTTTTTTGTTTGTTTGTTTTTGTTTTTAGGATATGCAACAAGGCTAGTTCCTGGCTCTGAAAAGATGATAGAGTTCAGATAATCAATATTCTCTTCCAAAATCTGTCCCCTACTCACGTATGTTCAAAGACCCAGAGAGTCTGAGGTGTTCACATTATCTCAACACCTATGCCCTGGATCTATTCTCACCTTGCAACGTAAGGTTATAAGGTTTTCAGCAAAGCAAGTTATCTGCCTGCAGCCTCAAAGCTCAGAATTCCCTCTGCATCAATCATTTTGTCACTTTGGACTACATCTTGGGATAGAAGTGGAGAAACTGGATGTTGCAGCATGACAGAGGGCATTGTGGGATGGAAGGTCTCTGTAAAAGCACCAAGAACTTACACTCAGGCAATATATGGTGAAGGAAGGAGAGCTAAAGGAAACTGAGTATGAAATACGGTGAACTTTTGAATAGGATTCTGAATCCTTGCCTCTTCATCCATTATTGTCATCTGTGATACTGATTGAATACTATAAAATATAGCAGAAATATAGAATTTTTTTGTATGACTTGATGTTCATCAAAAATATCGATGAGTTCAGAAGGACAAATATTACATTAATCTATTATTGTAAAAAGTCAAGGAAAGGTTTATATATAAAAACAAAACCAAACTCACTGCCGTTGAGTCAGATCTGACTCATAGCAAACCCTCCTTGGGTTTCCGAGGCAGTATCACTACGGAAGTAGATTGCCCAATCTTCCTTCCAAAGACTGGCTGGTGAGTTTGAACCACCTGTCAGCCTTCTGGTTAGCAGTCAAACGGCTGAGGCATTACACCACTGGAAATTTTCTTTGTTGGTTGCCAGGGGAGGGAGGGGAGAGATGGGACCACTGCTAGATAGATAGAGACAAGTATTGATTGGGTGAAGGAAGGGCAACGTACCAAATGAGAATGATCAACACGGGGGCATTGAGGAAGACATAGAAAGGTGCATGGGAGGTACAGACAACAAAAATGAACCCTTTTGCACATATAGTACTGTGTTGTTGGTGATGGCAAACATTGATATATGGGTGGACAGATGGGTAGACAGGCTGAACAACGCGGGGGGGGGGGAGTGTGCCCATTACCATGTATAAGGTTGGCAGACAATGTTTCTGTAAGTGTAATTGTATATTCTGTAAGAATTTCCAAATATACAGTAGAGCTGACAAGGGACAAAGTTGTAGTTACTTCTTGGCCACAGCTAGCTACCTAAAGGGAGCAAGTAGTTGGACCTGTGGGCTTGGGACCATGGTCCCAGGGGACATCAAGTTCAATTGGCATAACATACTACACAAAAGCTTTGTTCCACATCCTACTTTGGCAAGTAGCGACTGGGATCTTAAAAGCTTGCAAGCAGCTATCTAGATGCAATTATGGGTCTCTCCTTGTCCTGAGCAAAGAAGAATGAAGAAAACCAAAGATACATGAAACAATTAGTCCAAGCAACTGGTACACCACAGGATCCTCAGCCTATACGACTGTGAAACAAGAACTAGATGGTGTCCAGCTACCACTCTCAACCACTTAGAGGGGGATCTGTGCAGGAAAAAAAAAAAAGGGACCAGGTTTGCTGGTCTGATAGAGCCTGATGGAATCCCTGAGGCTATGGTCTCTAGCTGCCCTTCAAGTCTGGAATTGAACCCACTCCTGTGGCTTCCAGCCAAACAAAAGACAGGTATATGAGCTGAACATTTACATTAGGTAGATACACTCTTTGGAGAGATCAATCATGGGATAATATAAAGGCTGTGTATACACAGGGATACATCTCAGGGGGCAGAAGTACATGGGAGGGAAGGACACAGGGAAGAGGTAATTATGGGGAGGAAGTAGGAAGAGAGCTGTTGCATTGTGGGAAATTGCAGTCAATGTCATGAGACAAAGTGTATGTGAACTTCTGTATGGAAAATGAATTTGCTCTGTAAACTTTCACCCAAATCACAATAAATTTTTTTTTTTTAAATATATTGATGAGTTCAATGCTTTCTGTGAACCAAGTAACACTCATACTTAAATGACACTTAACCCATTCAGTTTATTCAGCAAAAGCATATTGAATGCATTGTCATCTACTCCAATTTAAAATAAATGAATAAATAATAAGAGAGAGCTTTGGGTTAGTATTCCTAGATTTTTGCCTCTACTCTTCACCTAGCTATTTGTATTGCATTAGTAAGGTACTTTGTGGCCTTCAGTTTTCTCATCTGAAAATGAAAATAAATTAGACCACCACGTCCTGATGTCCAACATACAGCTCCCAGAGCCTGTTACAAACTACCTGACCTGAGATGAGATTTCCAGCAATATTAATTAACTTCTTGTTGTTGTTGTTTGCCGTCGAGTCGTCCCCAACTCATAGCGACCCCTCCTTGGGTTTCCGAGGCAGTATCACTACGGAAGTAGAAAATACGAATTATTATGGCAATAGGACCTACCCAGCTTGGCTGCTGCTCCTTCTATGTGACTGATTGCCTGCTAAGTGCTATAATAACAGTCTTAGAGCACTGATGACTTTATTTTGAAGGTAATTAACTATACAAATGTGAGCTCTTTGAGTTAACTTTCATTAAAATTATATCATGACCAAAAGAAAACAGATATAAATCAAGCCATATGCCCTTGCTTTAAACCATGAATCATATCCAGTTCTTATGTGATGATCTTGAACTTCATCCAACTCATCTTTATCATAAATTTTAAAGTTCTTTAGGTACACATACATCTGAGAATTTTGATCATGTGATCTTTTTTGAAAGTCTGTGCTTGTACAATTCCTTCCTGTTGTAAAATTCTTTGACTTACTTAAAACAGTAATGTAAGTGTAGGTCTCCTCTGAACTTCTGCCTAAGTCATCAGATATATGTTTAAATTTGAATTGTTTTGGAAAGTTCATCTTTTTCTTCTTGTTTAAATAGGAATTCACTGACTGACGATGGCAGAAAAAGTCTTAGAGAAGTTAGGTATCCTGGATGATCAGGCAAAGACACTCTTGGCCCAAAGAGAAAAGGTACATAAAGACTAAAATATAATCATTTAAAAATTAACATTTCAAATATGAAAATTATTTTTACTTTTTAGTTAATGATGCATTTATATGAAGATATAAAATGATTTGTAAAAAATAATTATGTTAGTTGAGTCATCTACCTAAGTGGATACTATGAAGAATTAATATGCATGATAACTTCTATACACCCACCATGTAAGGTTATGATATGTGCCTAATCTGCTGAAGATGGAAAAAATCCTAAACAGACAAATATTAAATGTGGCTACTCCTATAGTTCCATTATGTGAAATATATAAAAAGTTATTCAGTTGGTTTATTAAAAAGAAAAAAAAAAAAACTATTTGGTATAGTTACCAAATTGGGAATAATTAAAACAGAAATTAAGTAAGTAAATTTTAAAAGGCAATACCTTATAAAAGTTAATATGAAGATATTAATAAAGAACACAGAAACCATGTTTTTGGCATATTGAAAAAACAAACAAAGCCACTGCCATCAAGTTGATTCTGACTCAATAGCGACCTTTTAGGACAAAGTAGAAGTGCCCCAAGGGAGCTCTGGTGGTACTGTGGTTAATGCATTAGGCTGCTAACCAAAAGATGTAGTGTAGTTCTGTAAAGATTTACAGGCTTGGAAAACCTATGGGGCTGTTCTACTCTGTTCTGTAGGGTTACAACAAGTCAGAATCAACTTGATGGCAGAAGAGTTTATTTGAGCACTGCCCCATATCTTTCCAAGGCTGTGAATCTTTACAGAAATAGACTGCCGCATCTTTTTCCTGCACAGCAGCTGGTGGTTTGAATCACCAACATTTTGGTTAGAAGCTGAATGTTTTAATCACTACACAACAAGAGCTCTTTAAGGAGCTCTGGTGGCACAGCGCTTATGGCATTTAACTACTAACCAGAAGGTTGGTGGTTCAGACCTATCAGCCACTCAGCAGAAGGCAGACAGGACAATCTACTTCCGTAAAGATTTATTGCCTTGGAAACCCAGTGGGGGGTGGCTATGAATCAAAATTGACTCAATGACAGTGGGTTTGATGAGCAATTTAATATCAGTTTTTACAAAAACTTGCAAAATAATATAGCAATGTGAATAAATGAGGTATATGTAAGGAGCAAAGGAGTTTGGGAACTTGGGAAGGTATCACAGAGAGGAACTCGTAAGTCAAAGAACTTTTTGTGAACCTGAAAATTGAAACGTTGATGCTTAAGTAAGAATTTGATTTTTCTATTCTTTCATACTTAATCTTCCTTCATTTAGAAAATAAAGCAGAGGAATATTGGTAAATGGAATAAATTCATTCTATTGTAGCTAGAAATTTTGAAAATTTTGAAATAGCAAACCAGAGCTAACTTATAAAATATCTTAAACACCAAAGTTCATCTCTTTTATATTTTTTTATTTAAATTGAAATATACTTTAGAAAACATAGACAACTTTTAATTTATCACTAAATGCCTTTTATATACATGTTTAAATTATGATTATTAGTAATAAAGTTTACCTTTTACTGAATGTTTCCTTTGTGCAAAGCATTTTTCATGAACTTTCTCATTTTGTGTTACTATTCAGAGTTTATGTGTTACTAATAAAACATTTTCTGAAAATTCTTTTAAAAGTTTATATAATCATCTTTCAAAACTTTTCTTATTTTTAAGCTTTAAAATTAAAACATACATTTGGAAATAAGTCAAGCAATATCTCAAAAACCAAAAATCAAACTCACTGTCATTGAGTTGATTCCAACTCACAGCAACCCCATTGAATTTCTGAGGCTGTAATTATTTAGGAAGCAGATCGCCCCATCTTCCTTCTGCAGAGCAGCTGGTGGGTTTGAACTGCTGACCTTCTGATTAGCAGCCAGATGCCTTATCCACTATGTCACCAGAGCTCCTTCAAGTATTATCTAGAGTTACATAAAAAAAAATAATTAATAGTCTTTGGCCTTTTCCTTCCAACACTTTCCCCTGAGGCAAACAAATGTTAGCAGTTGGAGGTTTTCCATTCACATCTTCTTTGATACTCTTATAAAGGTATGCATATATGCAATGCATATATCTACACACATTTATTTTTACATATATATTTTTTCATAATATATACACATACATATATACCTACATACATACATATATGAAGGTTAGATTTTCTTTATTTTCATTTCTTAATGACAAAAAAGGAGATAACAGATAACATGCAAATCACTTTGCTAATTACTTCTTTATCTTTTTTAAACTCTGTTTTGAAATAATTAAAGACTCACAGGAAGTTGAAAAAATAGGAGTCCTCTTCACTCATCAGCTTCTTCCAATGGTGACAACTTACATAGTTGTAATAAAATATCAAAACACTGGTATATTAATGTAAACTAGACTATAAAACCTTATTCAGTCTTCATTTTTTTGTCTGCATTCATTTGTATATGCATATGCATTCATTTGTGTATGTATGTGTTTGTATGTGTAGTTCTATACAATTTTATCCCATGTATAGATTCATGCAACCACCACTATAATCAAGATATAGCACTGTTCTACCACCACAAAAGGACTCACTAATGCTACTTCTTTGTATATCTCCACATCTCCATGCCATTCCCGTCTTTATCTCCTAGCAATCATTGAATTGTTTTCTATCTCTAGTTTTGTAATTTTGAGAATGTTATATAAATGGAATCATTCAGTATGTAAACTTTTGAGATTGACTTTTCACTAAGTGTAACACCCTTGAGATCCATCCAGGTTTTTGCATGAATCAATAGTTCATTCCTTTTATTGCTGAGTGGTGTTCCATTACATGGATGTAGACTTTTCATCATTCACTCGCTGCTCTTAAAAAAAAAACAACAAAAAACTACAGTGAACATTCATGCATAGGTTTTTGTGTGAACGTAACTTGTCTCTGCTCTGAGATAGATGGCTAGGAATGTGACTGCTGATGCTAATTGCTTTTTACACTTATCAATATATTGAAACACATCTTTCATCTCTGTAAATTCTTTTTCTTTTTTTAAATGTCTCCCATTTCTTTTTATTACATTTAATTTTCCTTTAACTGTGGGCATATTTATAATATTTGTAACAGCTGTTTTAATGTCTTTGTATCATCTAGTTCTATCATCTAGGTCATTTCTGTATCAGTTCCTATTGTTTCTCCATTAAAGGTTATATTTTCCTGATTTTTTGAATGGCTGGTAATTTTTGGTTGACTGATGGGATTTTACATAGTTGGTATGAGATTTTGATGCGTTCCTTAAGGAGTATTCCTACTAGAATGCATTTAAGATACTTTGAAGCAACTGGATCTTTTTGAGGTTTTATATTAAGCTTTATTAGAGTGGGTCTAAGGAAGCCTAGGGGAGCTCTGGTAGCATAGTGGCTAAGGCACTTGACTGCTAACCAGAAGGCTGGTGGTTCAAACCCACCAACCACTCCTCGGAAGGAAGATGGGGCAATCAACTTCCATAGTGATACTGCCTCAGAAACCCAAGGAGGACTCGCTATGAGTCGGTCCGACTTGATAGCACGTAACAACAACAACAAGAAGGAAGCCTAAGGCTAAGTTTGCCTGACTAATTAAGGTGATTCCCTTCTGAGTATTCTATCCAGTGCCTTGTGAGTTAGGAGGTCTCTCCACTCTGGTTGGAATAAAAGGGAACTATTTATCCCAGCCCTGTGTGAGTCCCAGGAATTGTTCAGCCTAGTTGCTTTCTTCCTCAGTCTCTCAGAGTTTCACTCCAAACATATGCAAATCATTACTCTGGTTTCTGTCTCCTAAACTTAGCAAGACCAAGACCCCAATCATTTGCGTGCCCCCTTGCTTCTGAATTTTAGAATTAAGGGGGAACCATAGATAGGAAATGAGGGCCTGCAGCCACAGAACAATGGCCTTAGAAGGTTGTTACTCAACCTCCTACCCTCTCCCCACAAAAAAAAACACTGCAATGGAGTCATTCTGATGCGTAGCAACTCTATAGGACAGAATAGAACTTCCCCATAGGGTTTTCAAAGCTGTAAATCTTTACAAAAGCAGATTGCCTCTGCCTCATCCTTCTCCCACAGAGTGGTTGGTGGTTCAAACTGCCAGTCTTTTGGTTAGCCATTAAGTGCCTTAGCCACTGCACCACCAAATACTCAGGGCCCCCAACTTTTTAAGTCGATAATACTTTTCCATTATAGCCATCCACATAAATTCTCTGTGTGTATATTAGTGTATAATAAAGTGAGGTTAATTTCTGTCCTTTCCATTCAGAATTTTACCTAGATGTAAAGTACTATTTTTTTTTTTTTTTTCTCTCTCAGTATTATACTTCTGCTTTGTTGCAGATAAACAAGCTTCAGAGTGGAGGAAGGAAAAAGTCTTTGATTACTCCTCTGACATTCAATTTTCAGTTGGAATTTGAAGAGCCTATTGCTAAATCTGCACTTAAGACAGGATCAAGGATTACAGAGGCTAAATCTTATGACATTGAAAAACAAAAAAGGTAACTGTCATAGCTAGTTCATAGCTTTCAATTTGGAGTTTTCAAGCATTATTACAGTTTTATTTTAGATGCAATCTATATTAAATGTAAACGTTGTCAAATATAGGTACATTTCATAATTTATGAAATTATGATTAAAATATTCTAAATTAGAATTCTTATTACACTTAGTTTAGAATGTATTATAATATTTCACTAATACAGATGGCAATTACAATTCTGAAATTTTAAAGGCTTTTCTTGAGCTCTACTATATTGCCCCAAATAAGTTTCAGGCTTTATTTCAAACTTTAACTGTTATAATTTAAGAAAAATATCTGCCTGGAAAACTAACTAAAGCAGTTTCTCTGTGTGCTTTTAAGCCTGAATATATCATACTTGCTCTTTCACTGGTATTGTGTATATGTATATATATGCTATATAATTTTCCAGGTATTAGAAATGTGGAGGAGAACCCAAGCAAAAGAAGTATTAAGATGTAGAATCAACAGAATTTCAGATCAATTGGACATTGGTGGCAATGTGGCTATTATCTCATTTATTCTGTTAACAACCCAATGTGTTAAGTTCCTTTTTTACAGATGAAAAATCCAAAGTCACACAGGTTACAATGGTAAAGGCTGAATTTAAACCCTAGAATCTGATTTCAGATGCACTCTTTATCACCACCTGTGGGAGTTAAGGTTATGTGTCAACTTGGCTAGACTGTGGTTTTGAGCAGTTGGACAACTGGGTGCAGTTATTCCCCATGATGAGATTAGAATCAACTCCATAGTTGAGCGGCTAATTAGTTGTGAGCAGCTAATTAGTAGCTCTGGTGGCATAGTGTCTAAGGTATTTGACTGTTAACTGGAAGGCTGGTGGTTCAAACCCACCAGCCACTCCTCAGAAGGAAGGTTGGGCAATTGGGCAATCTACTTTCGTAGTGATACCTCCTCGGAAACCCAAGGAAGGGTCATTATGAGTTGTGGCCTGCTTCCAGTATATATATATATATATATATATATATATATATATATATATATATAGGGAAGCTTTGGTGAAGGTCTCTAGCTTTTTGGCGTGCTTGGATCCTGCATCTGGCTGAATCTTCATGCAGTGGCCTGCTGTGCTGCCTGATGATTTCAAGTTTATTCCTGGACTTGAACCAGCGGTCTGCTGTGTGCCTGTTGATCTTGGGATTGTGTCATCCTACTTGGTGACCTTGGGTTCCTCAGCCTCAGCAGACAGCACCTGCATGAATTACAAGAAGCCTCCAGCTCCGGTGGGCCTGGAATAAAAGGCAGAACTGTAGCCCAAAGTCGAGGGGCCTTTACCCAACCTCTAGAGTTGGCACTCTGAACTAGGACTTCTAGCCTCCTAAACTGTAAGAGAATAAAGTCCTGTTTTTTGGTTAAAGCCATCTACTTGTGGTATTTCTGTTATAGCAGCACTAGAAAACCAAGACACAACCCCATTCAATAGGATTTTGTCATCCTTCCTGATTTTGGTGGCTAGGTGCATTATGGCACTTTGTATGTATGCAGGAAAAGTAAGCTGGGGCAAGATGATTAGAGTGGGAAGAGCTGGGTTTAATTTTGGATATGTTAAGTTTCAGATGTCCTTGGGCATTAAGATGCAAATGTCTGGAAGACATTTTGTCTTTAGCAGAAATAAATTTGAATGGTTTGCATAATTTAGTTTTATCACAAACTCCATACATTACTATTTTGTTTCTATTTACATAGACACAGCAATAACTTTACTTCAAAATCATTTAGAGAACTACCCATATTAAAGTGCAAGTTTAAAACAATACTCAGGAAAAATATGTATTAAATGAATATTGGGGATTTAGGGAAGGGGAAAATATTTATACACACACACAAACACACACACACATATTGTTATGTAACAGTATAATATAGTCCTAGTGACCCGTTTCAAAAAAAAAAAACAAATCTATTGCCATTGAGTCAATTCTGACTCATAGTGACTCTCATTGGGTTTCCAAGGCAGTAAATCTGTATGGAAGTAGAATGTTTCATCTTCCTTCCACAGAGAAGCTGGTGGGTTTGGTCCACCAACCTTCTAGTTAGCAGTCAAATGCCTTAGGTACTTTGCCACCAGAGATCCTTAGTGACCCATCAGATGCCTTTAAAGGCAATGTTGGTGTTATGTGCCATCGAGTCAGACCTGACTCATAGTGATCCTTCCATGGGTTGCCGAGGCAGTATCACTACGGAATTAGATTGCCCCATCTTCCTTCCAAGGAGTGGCTGGTGGGTTTGAACTGTCAGCCATCTTGTTAGCAGTCAAGTGTCTTAGGCACTATGCTACCAGAGCTCCCTTTTAAAGGCAATATATAATGTTTTCTGCTAGTATTTTGCAGGATGATGCTGTTATTACTCTTTAAGGCTATTTCCTAAGTAGTTTATAAAAGCGTCATTGAACCTGTGTTGATCACAGTATAACCCCTCAACAGCTGAGTAACATTCCTTGCACACAGTGTACATCTGGCTGACTGTAAAGTTTGAAGCCAGTGACAAAGTCAGAGTTTAAACTGCAAAACCAAAGAGGCACATATCTCCAAAGAACAAATAAATCTAAATTGACCAGCATTTAGAGGACTAAAATTAGCGCGTGTACACACACACACACACACACACAAATACAGCAAAAGTTCAAAAATTTAATAAGAATCAAGATATAACCTACACCAAAGGAAATAAAATTTGCTTGAAGAAGTCAAGAAAAAAATCTAGGACATGGAGATAAGTCCAAATAAGAGCATACATAGGAAATGTGTTCTAGGCCAAGGTAATAATATGTACAAAGAGTCAACCAGTGGCAAAAGAAAGTCTGACTTACTTGAGGAACCAAAAGTAGTTCAGTGTTGCTAGACATGAACAGGGTAAAAGATAGGGATCGGAAACTGAGTGGTAAGAAGTGGCACTAAAGAGAAATTATCAATTCTACCCAAAGCAATCTATACATTCAATGTAATCCCAATCCAGATCACATCAACATTCTTTAAAGTTATGGAAAAACCAATCACTAACTTTATATGGAAAGAAAAGAGACCTTGGATAAGCAAAGCATTATCGAAGAAGAAAAACAAAGTAGGAGGTCTCATACTCCCTGATCTTAAAACCTACTGTACAGCCACAGTAGTCATAACTGCCTGTTATTGGTACAACGACAGACATACAGATCAGTGGAATAGAATTGAGAACCCAGAAATAGATCCATAGACCTATGGTCAGTTGATCTTTGACAAAGGGCTGAAATCCATTAAATGGGGAAGAGAGTGTCTGTTTAACAAATGGTGCTGTCAAAACTGGATATCCATTTGCAGAAAAATGAAACAAGATCTGTACCTCACAAGATACACAAAAACTAACTCCAGATGGATCAAAAACTTAAATGTGAAACCTAAAACTATAAAGTTCATCAAGGAAAAAACTAGGGGAAAATGTAGGGGCTCTAATATATGCAAATGTAGGGGCTCTGGTGGCGTAGTGCCTAAGGCATCTGACTGCTAACCAGAAGGCTGGAGGTTCAAACCCACCAGCCACTCCTTGGAAGGAAGGTTGGGCAATCTACCTCTGTAGTGATACCACCTTGGAAACCCAAGGAGGGGTCGCTATGAGTTGGATCTGACTTGATAGCAGTGGGTTTGATTTTTTTGGAATATATGGCATAAATAGACTATCAAGCATAACCCAAAATGCACAAACAATAAAAGATAAACTAGATGAATGGGATCTTCTAAAAATTAAATTTTTATGTGCTTCCAAAGACTTCACCAAAAGAGTCAAAAGAGAACCTACAGATTGGGAAAAAATATTTGGCAATTACGTAATTGACAAGGGACTTATCTCTAGAATTCATAGAAAACTACAACACTTCAACAACAAAAAGACAAATAATCCAATTAAAAATTGGGCAGAAGACATGAATAGACACTTCACCAAAGAGGACATTCAGGCAGCCAAAAAACATATGAAGAAATGCTCACAATCATTGGCCATTGTTGTTGTTGTTGTTATGTGCCGTCGAGTCAGCCCCGACTCATAGCGACCCCTCCTTGGGTTTCTGAGGCAGTATCACTATGGAAGTAGGATTGCCCAACCTTCCTTCTGAGGAGTGGCTGATGGGTTTGAACCGCCAACCATCTGGTGAGCAGTCAAGTGCCTTAGCCACTATGCTACCAGAGCTTAGCCATTAGAGAAATGCAAATCAAAACAACAATGAGATACCATTTTTCCTAAGCACCAGTAGCAAAGTTCAATAAGACAGAAAACAACAAATGCTGGCAAAAATGTAAAGAGATTGAGACTCTCATACACTGTTGGTGGGACTTTCAAATGATACAACCACTGTGGAAAGTAGTATTTCAATTCCTTAAAAAGTTGGAATTAGAAATACCATTTGACCCAACCATTCCATTATTAATTATATATCCTAAAGAAGTGAGAGCCAGCACAAGAACAGATATATGCACACCCATGTTCATTGCAGCACTATTTACAATAGCCAAAAGATGGAAACAATCTAGGTGCCCATCAACAGAAGAATGGATAACCAAACTATGGTACATACACAACGGAATACTGTGCAACCCTAAAGAATAACGTAGAATCTGCAAAACACCACATAACGTAGATGAACTTGGAGGACATTATGCTGAGTGAAATAAATCCATCACAGAAGAACAAATATTATATTAGTCCTTTATGGTAAAAAGTCAAGAAAAGGTTTATATATGGAAGGAAATTTTCTTTTTTGGTTACCAGGGATGGGAGGGGAGGGGAGGGAACACTATTAGATAGGTGAGACAAGTACTTATTTGGGTGAAGAGAAGGGCAATGTACCAAATGTGAGTGATCAACACAGCGGCATTGAGGAAGAGGAAGACATAGAGAGGTACATGGGAGGTACAGATAACAAAGTTGAATTCTTTTGCACATACAGTATTGTGCTGTCAGTGAAGACAAACATTGATGTATGAGTGGCTA